TTTTATTGTCTTCTCTTTTTCATTTGTTGGTGCCTAAATTTGGATGACTTTTAGGTTGATATCTTTCTTGAAAGTTCTAAAGACTGCTCTTATTATCCTTTGCCCCTCAGGCTGCCATTCAATCAGAGCCTTCTTTGCAGCATGTGACAGTATCAGGGCTACTCCTTCACTGTGTATGGCATCTTCTTCTTCATGACCAGAGTATTAAATGGACTCTCCAGATGTTACTCTAGTAGATCCATTTTCTGTCCATCTTGCCTCACTTATTCCTAAGATGTCTACTCTGTATCTCCTCTGCTCCATGGTTACTTGTTTTGTCTTCCCCTCCTCCCACATCGCCCTAACATTCCAGGTGCCAATCCTGGAGCTTTTCCTCAGCGTCAGACATGAAGTGGGCAAGTCGGCTCCCTTATGGGTTTGGCTAACCTGCGTCATAATTCCTTTATGAGGACCCACCCTCGTGGGGGTGAAAAACGCTTATTGGTTGTGCAGACCTATTTACTCTTACAATTTTGGCGTACAATGTACAATTTTTAAGGTGTATACATTATATACTTTGTTTAATTTTTTTTCTATTAAGATATTATATTGAACGATTTTGTGATAATATTGTATGGTTTTAAGAGTTTGAGGGTAAACAGGTCTGGTTGTGGATGTTTTCGTAGGGGTAGTTGAGTTTCTTGCAATGAATGGGTTGCTAGCCCAATGCAAAGCACGATAAAATAAGTTGCCACGTATGACATGCTTGCTTGGCAGTGACTTATTCTACCCCTATGGTAGGTCCTGTCAGTTGCACGCAGGGAAACTAGTTGTACAAGGCCTAGCCTAACGTCCAGTTGTATTTATTATTATTAATATAGTTAGAATATATAATCATTATAGTAATTTTAATTATGTTCACTACTTTTAGTCATTTAAACTTTATGTACTTCATTTGACATTAGATGAATTAGATTATTAGTTCTCAAGCAAAACCACTATGGCTAGAGGTCAGGGGTGGGCAACTTTTTGTGCGGAGGGCCACATTGACAAATGTAAAGCTATTGGGGGCCGCACGTATATTATGCCTAATTTTTACACGTGGATAAACATTCTCTATATTAAAATCTGTAAATTCGCATTTTAGAATTACATGACAAAAGTCAAGGACTGTTTAAAAAAAAAAATTAGAAAGAAATTTGATAAAAAATTGTTAAAACAATCATAACAAAGCATGAAGATCTGTAAAATTCAACAAAATAAAGTAATTTCTTAATTTTCTAAATGCCTTCGAGGGCCGCATAAGATCAGTTCCCGTGCCACACCCATTGGCTGTAGTTTGCCCGCCCCTGCTATAGGTATAGTCATAGACTATGGCCTATGAGCCTATTTTTATTTAGTATGCTATGTTGCCAATGTTGAGCAAGTAACAGTTACAGTAGTCAAATTAAGTAGTTTAGGTGATAATATTTAATTTTTTTTTTTTCTATCTTTGCTAGAAGAAGTTGAATTATATTTTTAACCTCTTTTATTTTTAGTCTTGTAAGTTTTGTCAAAGTCCTTTTATTTCTGTTAATTGTTTTGAAAATAAATGAAACAATTGTGCCATGTGCAGATAGAGAAAATTTTAAGTTGCCTGTAACAAGTTATTTAAAATAAATGTGAGATGGTAGTTTTTTTATCTCATTTTTTTAAAAAATTATTTTAGATCAATTACTCTATTAAAAAGTCTACTTAAAATGTATCTTAGATATTAGATGTAAGTATAGTTTTAAATAGATTTTTAATGTTTTAAAAAAAAAAGATTGTATCAAATTTGTACAAAATTAGATATGTGTGAGAGTCTAGTGTGTTATTATGCATATCCAAGACTCTCACTGTCTATAATAATTATTATTTTTTTTTTTTTAAAGAAGTCATCAGTATTTACCCATGATACAACAAAACTAAACAACTACAGGTTTTTTTTTCCCTTAACAGTGAAGATTTGAGTACCTGGTATCTTTATATGACATTAATAACTATTGTGTTTTTTAATACATCACCTGCTTATCTTTTCTAACCCCTGGCTTTTGCTTGTTCACATTATGATTATTATCGTGTGCATTTAAATTATGCAATTGTTTAGTTTGTACAGTGCATTCAAAGGATCAAGATTATAATTATTTTTTTAAAAATCTGGCTGATAGTGTGGGAATGCAGAGATGTCTGATGGGTTATATTTCTATGTTTGTATCTCTGATAATAAAGACTCATGTACCAGATCATAGCAAGTAGCAGCTCCTTCTAGTACTAGCTGAGATAAAATTGGAAGGTTTTGTTGTTGTTTTTTGTACAACTGAAAGACAAATATGTCTTTCTACAATATTTTTTCTACAGGTCATAACAAATAGTTTTCAAAAGCCATTTACTCCCCACTAATGACACATAAGCAGATTTGGCTGGTGCTGATTTTCCCATCTATTCTTGCTTAGAAAATTTGATTACATCAATTAGCTGATGAGGGTCTGTTTGCCATGTTGGCAATCAGGGGTAAGGGCTCACTGTTCACGTTTGCCTGACAGAGTCGCACTCAGTTGTTTCTTCACCCAGTTATTGGTATAATTTTGGTTGACGTACTCATATGTAACCCACAAGGCCTGAGATTATTCTTCTTACTTTAAACAAAAGTCACCGGCGCAAGTCATCAGTCATCCAATACGGACGACTTGATGGTCCTAGTTGATCTTCGACGGACGAACAACAACACTTACAATTGAAAATTACCTCAGGCAATTTAAAGCTAAATACATGAATTATTAGTAATTTGGGCCAGTGTGTGAAACTTTCATTTCCAGACTGGACCTATTATTTGTTAGTTTGCGATCTCAGTAGAAAATAATCACTGTTCTTCATGCCCTCTTTCAAGCAAATTTCATAAAATGATTTAAAAATTAATCACCATTCTAGCCTTAAAGCCCTGCATAAATTTAAAAAAAACTCAATTTCCCATAGATATTTCCTATGAATTTCTCAAATACTGTCTACAGAGTAGATGGGAATTGATTTTTAGAACTAAGTATCACTCATGGCTTTGAATATTTGTTCTTCCACATCAGACCAGCCTATTTCTCTCAACACATAGTTTACTGCCTCTTGTAGACATTTCATCAAAACAATGCAAAATGCTTCCCCTGTGTTAGAGAGCAAGGTGATGTCCTAGTTTTTACACATGCATGGTTTCCTTTCTTTGGTATAATTATAAACGAAGTGGCTATTCTCACCTGGGTATCAGAAGTGAGAGGTTGGGATTAAAAAATTATTTTAAATATTATTTTTGGGTTTGTAAGACAAAATGAGGTATCAAATGAAAGATAATTGAATGGACTATATGTTTGTAAACTTAATTCTTCAGTTTAACTACAATAAACTACCAAAAATGACATCTGAATGGGATTTAGTCTAAAGGGACCCGGTTAAGCATAACCACTATTAGTTGCAGCCAATTATAAATCACACCTTCTCCCTAGTCACACGTAACATGTTCAGGCCCATGAATTTAAAAAGATATAATCTGCTCCTAGTGTTCTAGTTGAATAATTAAATTAACTGTTCAATAATTTCTGATTTCTGCAAACCAAAATATAAGGCTCTGCATTTGACATTTATTCTGGATGAGCTGTAGCGTTAATAAATAATAGATGCCATCCTTTTATTTCCTATACCCAGTTGCCACAAGCGTGTCTTAACTTCCTAGTTTATCTATATTTGCTTGAATTAACAATCTTGAAATAACCAAAACATGTTAAATGTTATACTGTGTTATATAAGATACCCTTTTCTAGGGTGGTAAAAGCTATCATTTGCAAATCAGCACACCTTTTTATTGCTTGGAATGATTCATCCACCATTGAGATCAATAAGAGGGCTTATCTGCTCCCTGTTGCAATCAATGGAACAAAACTATCATGTTGAGTGAGCACTGAAACAGTGGCTGCTAACTTTTGAAGAGGAGGTTTTATTGATTTGTTGTTCTGGGATGCTTGTAAGTAACATGGCACAGTGAACTTTTCTAAATGACTTTCAACCACGAATTTTGGCAAGGATGTGTATTAAATTATACATATTTTTATAAAAACACCATAACCCAATTATTGAAGTCAAAAGTGTAACTGTCTATAACTTCAGGACAAACATTTTTGTATTTTAAGAGTGTTAAGTTTTATGTAAAGCTATGTTAAATTGATATTTAGCGGTTTGGGGGGGGGGGGTTGTTGTTTATTTTTTAATTGCAAGATGGTAATATAGGGGATGAGCAGATTTTTTATGGCTTCCCTTTTAATGTGCATTGTTTTGTATTTTAAGAGTGTTAAGTTTTATGTAAAGCTATGTTAAATTGATATTTAGCGGTTTGGGGGGGGGGGGTTGTTGTTTATTTTTCAACTGCAAGATGATAATATAGATGATGAGCAGATTTTTTATGGCTTCCCTTTTAATGTGCATTGGCTGCTAGAAAGACATTTAGCCAATATTTTAACTTTAGATTATTTCAAACAAAAAAAATTTTATTTAAAAATTGTATGTGAATTTTTCATGAATTATTTACTTTGAGCAAATAATATTAATATCTGTGGAGATAATGTATTTAACTTAGCACATGGGTTTAGTCATTAGGGTACTGTCAAGCAGGATGAGTAAACAGGCTGTAAGAATTAGTCATCCTATTGATTTGTGCCCAAGGCATTCAAGGATTGTTAACTGGGCTAAGCTATTTATTTCTGGGTCATATTTCATGCTGGTTACTTGAATTGCTGGTAAGCATCTGTATACTTTCTTTGGAAGTCCTACTCTTTGTTTGAGAGAATGCTGTATTTTTTTAGACCTTGTTAACATAAAAAAAACAGCTTACTTGGTCAGCCAAGAGCTATTCATATTATTGATCCACCATTGGAATTTTCCTCCAGCATGCCTGCTATGGTCTGGTGCCAAGCAGACGGGAGAAGAGAGCACTGTGCCCCTCCTCCCCTTCGCCTAAGCCCTGCGAATTGCATTTATTATCAGAGCCTGGGTGTGTATAGTTGATTCAGTTAGAAGGTTCTACCAGATACCCCATTTTTAACATTTGGATTTGTCTGAGTTATTTTCATGTATTGTGACAAGAAATCCTTTGGAAGATTGTAGCTTTCTAACTATCAATAATTGTCTTCATAGTGGGTTAGTTTCAGAAATAAACCCGTGCTCATATTGATCTGGTGACATCATGCTTTGCAAAGTCTGTCTAGGGTCAGACAGCTCACTTATTATTTTAGACACATTTGTCTGATTTTTTTTATCTGTTTGGTTATTCAGCTTCTCAAATATTTAAAAACTAATCTTTAGACCCTAATATACTCATAGTGGTGCTTTCTTTTCCAGCTTTGTGAAGCCTCCTGACGTTTTAGATCAAGCACTGTTAGTAGGTCAGAAGACAGCATCTCAAAATGTCTGCCGGTAAGTATAGCTACAGATTAGATGAAACTTTTTTCTGTTGAATAAAATAGATAAAAATGTTACCTTTGAAAATAATTGCGACTAGCTTCCTGTAACTTTATTATACATATTATTTTTTTGTTAATTTATAGTATAGGCTTACTGAATTTTTTACATTTTGTTTCCCTTTTAGCTTTTTCAGATAAAAGACATGGGTAATAATATTTTTTAAGTCAAATGAATACAATTTTCCTCAAACTGATATCAGCTAATTGCTTTCAAGACTTTGCTCCACAAAATTGTAAAAGGCGTGCATGTAACTTAGGGAACATAATTCTTAAAACTAATTTAATTCTGCTGCAATATTTAAACTTATCAAATTACTTACTTATTCTTTAAAATGCATTTTGAGTCGAGTAAAATTATTTTAATACAACACGATGCTCCCTCTAAATTTTCACATTTTCTATGTCAAGGAATAAAACATAGTGTTCAAAGGATATGTGTTGGGCAAGTTAACCTGAAAATAGGCTTTGGAAAAAAGTTTATATGCACAGATAATTCTTGAATGCTAGCATATTACACTTTTTGCCGATACACAGCTCCATATCTTAAAGGGAATATCTGGGATCAATAAGAGTGTATAATAATTATTATTTTTTTTTTTCCAGTTTTTATATTTAATATAAGACCCAAATTTCTTTAAAATGAATGCCTCATTGATTAGAGCCTTTCAAAATTACTGCTTGCTACATGAATCTATACATTAATCCTACACTGGATTATGTTACATATGGTTCTCACTTCTTTCTAATGCTGCTTCATATTGGAATTACGAAGTATGCAGCTGGTTCAGTTTTCTATGCATGAGGGAAACGCAAAAAAAGAAAACTGTCCAGCATCGCATACACCCTAATCGGCAGGCATATGATGCTATTGTTGTGTGGAAGGGTAAAGGTAACAAAACCATTTTGATTAGTGTTTTACCATTTTTTTTTTAAAAATAGATGTCCTTATAGTTTAATTTTTAAAAAAAAATTGTTATCTATTCCCAGCAAATTTTCTTTTGGTACAAGAAGGAAACCTTTTTTTAAAAAAAACTACCACATCCCAAAATGTATTTCTGTACTATACCAATGTCATTGTGCTTATGTTTTTTGCATGGGTTTGTTCTCATTATGTTGTATGAAAAATTAAAATGCACACTTAAATTTAATTAATTATATATAGCCTCTTAACACTTCACAAAAATAAAAAATCTTTGAGAGAAGATGATTTTGCTGTTAAATTGTAATTATTTATATTTTTTTATTTTAACAACCAATGCTTATACATTTGCATCTGCACAAAATGAAAGGCATTTCATGACACATGAAATATTAGTGCTAAATTGTCTGTGATTGAATGTTTTTCCTTTTTATTTACTGTTATATTGTAGCATCAATCTTCATTTTATCAATTAATTACAGAAAGCTCTATTAAAAATCATTTGTATTTATTAGAAACTATCAGCAGGCTTTACTTTTTAATACTAAAACAATATTGCTACAAAATTTACAATTTTAAAAAAAAATATAATCTTTTTAAATGCAATGCATCATTAAAAATAACAGCTGAGGCTTGCTTAAATTTGAGTTTCATGAATGTTAAATTTATGCTTTTGAGTCTTTTCAATAAATTGAATTGCTATAATCTTACAATTACAAGATCTTGGACATCAATTTCCATTTCATCTGCTGACCCTTCCTTGAAATCAGTGCATACTTAATTATACATCTTTAAAATTGTTTTAAAACCCTTCATAGAAAACCAGAAAGCAAAGAATGGTGGTATCAGTTTCGATGTAATCCTAAAACCTGCTACTGTAGAAAGTCCACGACCACCCATCCAACTGTCCCCAAGAGGAGATGTTGTCAAGAAACGAGAGTTATCACAGGAGCAGATTGAGAATAAACTCAAAAAAGCAGAAGAACGCAGAAGTGTATGACATTTTTGTTGTTGTTGTTGGTACTCATTGTTAGTGCCTTTTTTTCCAAACTTAGGTTCATAGCTAAACTAATAATAGCTGTAAGTTATTTTTATGATAGGCGTTATACAGTCAGTTTACTTCCTACTGCGCCAGATGCAAGACTCCTGGTTGAGTTTGAAAGCTGATGAAATTCAGGGCTTTGCAGACAAGAAAGACATGGAAAAACTTCTACCGTGGCCTGAGAGAAATCTATGGAGTTGCCACCTCAGGCTCTTCCCCTCTCCTTAGTGCAGACGTTTCTACACTCATTACAGACAAGGAGAAATTCTTGGAAAGATGGGCGGAACACTTTGATAGTGTGCTCAATACGCCTCGAAACATTAATGATGAGGCCATTGAAAGACTGTCCCAGTTCCCAACAAACAAGTCAATGGACGCTGTCCCAACTTTGGTGGAGATACAGACAGACATCCGCCAAATGTCTAATGGCAAAGTACCTGGCTCCAACATTATTCCTGCCGAAATCTACAAAGAAGGTGGACCAGCGCTGATGGATAAGCTATTGTGTCTATTCCAGATCATCTGGCAGACGGAAACTGTACCACAAGACCACAAGGATGCCTCGATTATACCTTTACAAACACAAAGGAAACCGCCAGGCTTGCGACAATCACCGCAGAATTTCACTGCTGTCCATTGCAGGCAAGATCTTGGCCCAAGCCCTTCTGAACCGCCTAAATGCACATCTGGAGCTAGGTCTTCCACCCGAAAGTCAACGTGGTTTCCTCAAAAAATGCTGAAATATCAATATGGTGTTTGCTGCTAGGGAGCTTCAAGAGAAATGTCAGGAGCAAAATACCAACCTATATTCCACATTTATCGACTAGAATAAGGCTTTTGACAGGGTCAATAGAGGTGGTCTGTGGAAAATTATGAAGAATTAGGGCTGCCCAGACAAGTTCACCATCATCATCCATCAGCTGCATGATGGCCCGAGTGAAGGACAATGGTCAGTCATCTCAAACATTCCCCGTCACAAATGGTGTGAAGCAGGGCTGTGTCCTTGCTCCCACACTCTTCAGTATTATGTATTTTGCAATGCTGTCTGATGCATTCAAGGAATCCACCAGAGGCTTGCCAACCATGTTTTGCACTGATGGATCAGTATTCAACCTTAGGAGGCTTCAAGCTAAAACCAAGGTCAAACATAACACCATCAATGAGCTTCTGTTTTTGGACGATTGTGCCCTCAACGCTGCTCAGAAGCTGCAATAACTTTGGCCTCACAATCAACACAAAGAAGTACTGAGGTGATGTGTCAGTCAGCTCCCTGTAAGCCCTACGTTGAACCCAACATCATCATCAGTGGACAGGGTCTCAACCCGGTGGATAAATTTACTTAATTGGGCAGCACCCTCTCCAGATCTGTTGTCATGGATGATGAAATGAATGGCAGACTTGCAAAAGCTAGTGATATATTTGGCAGGCTCCACAGCACTGTTTGGGACATGAGAGGTATCAGACGAGAAACGAAGATCAAGGTCTATAGCGCAGTAGTCCTCTGGACATTGCTCTATGGATGTGAAACGTGGACAGTCTACCAGCGTCACGTCAAGAAACTGAATAATTTTCACACAATCTGCCTCAGGAAACTCCTCGGCATCAGGTGGCAAGACAAAGTTCTGACACAGAGGTCCTGGCTAAAGCGAACCTACCAAGTATCTTCACCACCCTGATGCAATCTCAACTCCGTTGGATGGAACACGTAGCCCTTATGAAAGACCACCGGTTCCCAAAACAGATATTCTTTGGAGAACTCACAATAGGCAAGCGCTTCCAAGGAGGTCAAAAAAGGCATTACAAAGACTCACTGAAAGCGGCACTAAAGGCCTTCAGCATCAACCCTACTCAATGGGTGCAGACAGCCCAGGACAGAGCCAGCTGGAGAGCAGATGTCAAGAAGGAGGCTAAATCCCATTAAGCTAATAGGATAACCACAGCTGAGACACACCGGCTGGCCCGTAAGAGCAACATTAGGACACCGTCTGCAGCAACTATCCCCTGCCCATGGTGCCAGAGATTATTCCGAGCACGGATCGGTCTAGCAAGCCACCTACGAGCTCACCGGATGACTCTATGTTCCTAGTCGATTTCGACGGACGAACTACTTCCTGCCAATATAAAAAAGAATATAAAGGAGTTATAGGCTATATTTAATCTAAAATTTGTTTAAATTTTAAAAGACTTTATATAAAGATAGTACTATTACAGTCGGCTGTGAAAAGCACTCAAAGTTATTCCCAGTCTATTGTATAACGAACGCTCGACATTATTCCCAACCAATATATGGTTTACTGATGCTAGCTCAATGTTATTCCCAGCCGACTGTAACCACTTCATATTTTTATATAATCTTTCGTTTGTGCAGTTGATTAATAGGTATTCAAGTTTCAACTTGTGCCTATTTTATATTTAAAAATAGCGAATTAAATTATTTTTCATATAATTTTTTTTAAAATTAGCTTATTGAGCAAGAGCGCATGGAACAGCTGGCCAAGGAGCGTCAAAAAGCAATTGAAGTTGTCACAAAGGCTCAAAGTGAAAGTGAACAGTTTTCTCAAAAGACCAAGGAAAAGCTTCGGCGGTCAATGGAAGTCAGAAGAGAAAACAGGGAAACTCAGATCAGGGCGCTACAAGAGAGGCTAAGAGAACATGTAGGTATCAGTGTTGCTCGATTATTTTTTTATTGTTGTGTAGCTTTACATTGTGAATTTCTATCTGGGTCTGTTTGTGACTGTTCAACTCTTTCCCTTTACCAAGACTAATTTGCCCCTGCTAATAAATGGCATTTCAATTTTATTTTCACAAGTATATTTCTGAGTAAATGCATAGACTAGCAGTTAATGGAAAGAAACGTTATTAATTTCTCTATAAAGTATTACCTTAATTTTTTTATTACTTTACATCTCTCTTTAAAAGTTTGTGTCTTTGTATCGGTAATATTATTTAATGCAATAGAAAAAGGGTTTATTTTAAAATGTGCATATTAGTAGCATCTAATTGAAGTTAGATTTTGCAGCGCTGTGATGATTGACAGGGGTGATATAATTATTGTTCCTGTTTAATTTTTTGTGCAAGGACTTAAAACTATGCGAGTGCTTGGTAGTCTTTACTGATTTGTAGATCTTTAATATAAGGCTATCTGAATGAGAGATTATTTTTTTTAATCACTTAATTTATTTCAAAGGAAAGGGCATGGGCGTCCCTGAACATTCAAGCTAAAGTAAACATGTTTTGCTGGGTTGGTTTTTAAAAAATCCCACTTAAAAATCTTAAAATTTACAGTTTTAAAAAAAAATTAAACAAAGGACATGCTCTCACATGCCGATTTATTAAATTATTAAATCCATGATATTCTTACTTTAAATAATCCTTTAATAAAATTAAGAATAGAAATTATCATTTTTATTAACATTCATCTCATATAAATGAATGCAACCCTGATAACTCTAAAACACTATCTTATTTTGTTTATTATTAAATTATTTTTGGCCAATTAACATATTTTCCCGATTAAAAATTCTATCGTTGTTGTTTGTATACATTTTAAAGGGGTGTCTCATGAGTTGTATGATGTCTCATGATTTTACTCTGTGTTCAATATTTGATAGCTATTATTAGGTGTTTTTATTTAACAACTAAAGCCCTGACCAATGCTTCTCAAACTTTGGGCTCCATATTACTTTTTGCTTTTATGAAAGTTTTCTTCCTTAAAAAACAAATTTCTATTAATTTCAACACTTTTTGTTATAAATTTAGATCTAAACAGGCCATTTGGATCATTGGCTCATAAATTAATTTACTTACTTACATACAGGAGCACATAAGAAAACAACTGATCAAGGGCTTTGGGTTGATTATACTATGAATATGTCCATTTCTCTGTATAAAGCTTGTTCATTGAGTTTATACATCCAACTGGATAATAAACTCTCACATGGTGAACTATTTCTCCTTACCTCAGAATTTCTTCATTATTTTTTCTTGCATTCATTTTGTTTTTTGTTTTTTTTTTTCTCGTTCTCTACTCCTCTTTCTTCCTGCAAACCCATCACCAACCTTATCTTGTGACGAGAAGTCCTTTAAAGTTCAAGAGATTCAGAAGGCAGGCGAAGAGATGGTTAAAGATTTTGAGGCTAAAACAGAGATGAAACTGTCCCAGAAAATGGAGACATATGAAGAAAACAGGCAGAATCAATTGAAGAATATGCTCTCGAAATTGCAAGAACATGTAAGTTAATTTGTTTGCATAAAAAGACAAGATCAAAGTGCTTATAAAAGGAAAACTTTTCCTTGGAGAGCAGCTGAGCCATTGCTTGCCCATTAAATATTACTACTGGAAGCCTGTGACCTTTCAAAACTTAACATTTTTATTTATTTTATTCTTGTTTGCAGATGGTTCAGAAGGTTAAATTTAAGTGTTAATATCTGGGGAGAAAAAAATGAACACAAAAATCCTGCTCCTTAAAATCATTAGATTTTCACTATTCAAAATTTGTTCTAGATCTGCATGTGATTGTTTATTTGAAGAGATTTGTCTTAGGCAAAATGTGCTTAGTTTAAATGAAAACAAAACTTTGTATTAACACTCTTAGAATGAATTGTGTCTTGTTCTGCTGTAGCTTTGACCTTAATCTTGCTTTTACTGCAAAGTATCCTCACAGAATAGTATTAATATATGTAAGTTTAAGTTATCACTAAAAATCATTTTTTCCTGAAATTGTCAAGGTGACTAAATTAGATTTAATTTAATGTTAATTGTCAGAGATTTGATGGTTTAATATAATTTAGTGATGAATAAAATTTTCAACAGCAACTTAATCACACAAACAGGCACACCAATTTATTTTCTGTTGGTTAAGTTAAATCCCTTAACAAAAAGGAAACTAGCAAGAATCTTAAGTATACAAGTAATTTTATTTTGACTTTCCGCAAATTGCAGACTTCTTGCAATTTACATCTTCACTGTGGCCCTTTTACTCTAAAAGTTAAGGGTTTGCTCTAAATATTTTTGTTTAAACACTGAGTTAATGTTGTATTCAAGTCAATTAACAACCAGTTTGATGTCCTCACTAAATATTTTGATTGTTCAATTGTTTAAAGTGTTTACTGTAAACTCAATGGTCATGTCTGCCTCTAAATCTGAATTAAGTTATAGTTGAGTGGAAATGGCTTGGTCATGACAAAAAACACAGGTTATCAATCTTTTTTATTTGCAACCCCATTTTATAGAAGCAAAAAGACCCGCTTCACCATTTTACAGACGCAAAGTGAATCCTAACCCCGTAACATTTAAAAATATTAAAACCATTGGAGAAAAACCTATTTAAAATAGATGCAGTATTATGAAATTATTCAAACTTTATTTAGACCTTGATTATTTAATAAGTCTCTATAAAATGTTTACATTTTTTAGTTGGAAACCAGGGACATAGGATGTTTAAAAGCTAAGTTTACGTTTCCTTTCCAAATCTTAAAGCCATATCATTTACCCCTGCTATTTGATGCTAGCATATTTTATGGAAAATTAACATGTTTTTAGTTGTTTTGAAGTTGAATTGTGGTGCACTGTAATTTGAATTTGTATATATCATGCGATAATAGTCTACGTGGGATCATTTTTAAATGTTAAAATTAATGTTCATATTTGTATTATTTTTATTTTTTTCTTCTTATTTTTTTAAATTAAATACATCAATAGCTGATTTTTGCAAAATTTTAGTACCAGTATCCTCTACAAAGACTTTTTCTTTTTTTTTTACTTAGAAAATAAGACTATTGCATCATGACTCTGTTTGCCATCTCATGCTGGTTTAAGTTGTCAATAATTGCTTGATTTATTGTATTATTATGAGATAAAATTTCATTTATTACCCACTTATGAAGACTACCCGGTATTTATATTTTTCATCATTTTACTGAATTTTTTTCATATGATTCGTTTCTAAACTTATAAGATCTGCACACCATACAAATCATTGCTTGGTAAAAATTAAAACTTTGTAGTCTATACCATTTTGATCAAGGGGATAAAAATAACTGGTGTCAATGGAAACTAGTCTTTTGTTTTTTGACACAATGTGTATTAACATTTGCAATGAGTAGGGAGTTTGTAAAATGTGTCATCTTATATATTTTTCCATTTAAGTGATTTACTGTAAATTTGCTTTTAACCAAAAGAAACATAAATTTCAGTCTTAACTTAAGCGTCTGAAATGGTCAGAACGTAATATATATTAAATGACAGTTTGAAAGTGATTACTGCATTTTTCTTTGTTCCTTGCTTGCCCTTTTTTTATGTAAATTTTTTTTTTTTATTTTTTTTTTTTTTTGGTCTTTAGTCAGACTTATTCTCTCTATTTTTTTTCACCAGGCCAATCATATTAATGAGGTCTGCCAGGCTAGCGAAAGCAGAGGGCCCTCAACAGATGATCTTCAAGAACAGCTTGTACTGAAGATGGAGAATGCCCTCAAAAACAGAGAGGAGCAGCTCAGAGGATTGCAGGATCGCCTGGCTGAACATGTGAGTTTATTAACAGATTGTTTATTTGCTTTGGGAGAATTAGATGCAATTAGTAATATGCTTGTTATATTGTTACATGGAGTAACCAAGATGAGATCAATAATCCCTCAATTTGTTTTTTCGAGTCCTTGTGCATTTCAGATTTTTTTTAGTAACTGCATATTTTTTTGCTAAATAAAATAAAATATTCAGGTTAATGGGCATCTTATGTAAATGGGAATGAAATTCAATGTGTGAGGCTAAATGAACCTAACATTTATGAACAATGAAGTTCAGTTTTATGAAAATGTATGTTTTTTGTGTAATTAGAAGAAAATTTATATTTAAAAACAACGTTATTTGTGCTGTTGTCATGTTGTCCAACCAAATCTTCATAAAGGATATTTTTTTAAAGTTTTTCCAATTAATTTTTTTTAAAACATCAAAATTTTGGTGGTTTTTATTTTATTCAAAGGTAATATGCAAATTTTCTCTAATTTTATTTTAGGAAAACCGCATTAAGGAAGTGCAAAGGAAAAAGCTGATTTCTGAATCAGGGGATGCTGATAAGGAAAATTAAGGCTTTTGCATTTGAGATGAGGAGAGATCTGAACAGATCAATCATTGAAGAATGAATGAATAGACCTCAGATTACAGCTTACAACCATACAGGTCACAGTAACTTTTACTTTCAGAGCAATCAACCAGAGTATGTTAAAGACATGGTTTTGTTTTGTTTTGTAGTTTATGAAATAGTTGTTTATATTGTGCTTACATTTTTGTTTAGAAATGCCACAGAAGGAAGAAAAAAAACACTATGACTTTGTTTCTGGGTGGAATGCCCGTCTTGTTCATGGAATGCTCAAATTTAATAGTTGAACTTGGCTTTTTTTTTCTTCTTCACTTATTAATAATATACCACAGAGTAATTTTTCAAATTTTTTTATAAGGATAGATCTTGTACGTGCAAGGTGTTTTAAGTTGACGTTGCCAAATGTTAAAGACTCATCCAAACCCTAAGATAATAATACAACTTGGATCATATAATTGATGGCTTTTTTTTTTTTATTATTATCTTGGTATATTACCTGACCTCAAGTTAAAATTGGATGTAGTTGTAATCGATCTGTTGCTATATCCTCAGTTGACAAATTTTAGTCCAAAAAATATTTTTACCATTTCTTTATTTTATCCTGAAGAGTGCGTTTAAAAAAATAGCTTTGTGAGTATGACAGAGATGGGTGTTTACAAAGCTTTCCTTTTCAAAGCTTCGCGGCAAAGCAAAGCCAATAATCTTTCGTAACGCTTTGCTGGGGGGGAAAATAGAACTAGGATGTTGTGGTTGGGTAACACCACTGTTCCTATTCATTCTCATGTGAACCATTTTTGTACATTTAGCCTCACTTTTCCACTCAGACTTTCAACTACGGCTCATTGTTGTGTCAGTTTGATTTCTTCCCCATTGCCTTATTGTCCATATATCAATGTCACGATAGATGAGGTAGAGCCAACTTACAATAATGTGCTGTTGTATTTTTATTTTATTTTTAATGAAGTGAAATACCTGCATTTTTGTTGTTGGGCTTGGCATCAAATGTCTCCAGTGAACAATCTTGAAATCAGCTTCTGGCTTTAAAAAAGTGTAGTTTACCAAAACAAAAAGTTGTTTCTCAATGTTGCTTTTAGTGTCCATCACTCAATCTACTCTGCTACTGCTGGACTTTTTTTTGTTTGTTTTTGTGTTATTGAAATGCCTGAATGCTAAGTTTGCCCTTATATTAGTGAGTTGATTAAATGTTTGCCAGACATCTTCAGTCAATGTGAATCCCATACTTAAATATTAGGCGCTAACAAATTCTTTAAAAAACTAGTAATAGTTATTCCCACTATTTTAGTGGGTTTTTCATTCAGATTCAACTTTTTATTCTTTTGGATCTTCTGTGGTGTTTTATAACCTCAAATATATCACTATTTTAACATTAATTTTTTTTTTTCCCAGTGAAGTTGGGGCGAAAATGTGAAGCTATGCATCCTTTTCTGTTTTCACTATTGCTTTTTCAAAGTTGACAGCCATTGTATTTTCATGTAATTGTTGAGCCTTTCATTGCCTGACAAACTGTTCATTTGTCCCAACAATCAAACTTTTTGTTTTCCTCTTTTACAATAATTTGTTAAATGCTTGTTTTCCCCACACTGCCGTGAATGAGGGTAAAATATTGTGTTCAATTTTTATTCATGTTTGAGTTAATAATTACTTTTTTTTCATTTTTATAATTATTATTTTTAGCTATATTTGTTGTTAATGGGGCACACGCTTTTTCTACTTAAAAAACTATTTGATAAGATAGTATTCATTTGTGTACAATCAAAAGGTAAAAAGGGGGCACGCTTTTTTTGCTCCCTAGTTATTATAATTTGTATTAATGTATTCAATGTTACAACATCTTGACCATTTACGGTATGTTAGTACTTAATCTATTTTTAATGGGTATTAATTATATCAAATATGAATTCCATATTATATATACTCAATGTGCTGACTGTATTGGTATTATTGCTTTTGCATTTTAACTTTTTATCAAATTTGTGTCCCTTCATATCAAAGATTAGAAACATGTACTTGCCCTTTCTGTGAGATGAACATTGCATTATTAATTACTCAATTTTTTCCATTGAATGGCTTAAACAGAAACAGGGGGAATTGGTTGACTTTGTGTTCATTTAATACCTTGATGAGATTGTACTTGAGGTTTGTTACTTGATTGCTTCTTCAACTTGGACCAATCATATTATTGCATGCTTAAAACATCCTCCTTCCTTAAATGACATCATCGTTCTACATATTGTTTTGCAAAGACTTCATCTCATCTGAATAATTTTTATAAAAACGTTTTTGCTTAAACAGCCACCAGTTCACAGATAGTTTTATTTAAATGACACAGTTGAAATGTTAAGCTATTCTAGTCTGTTTTTATTCTCAATCAAATCTCAGGAGGGGCATTTTTACTCGTGGCTATTTGAGAAAACCACCACCGAGACTAGTCACGTTATTACTAAGTTTATTTTGACTAAACTATGTTTCTAACAAATGGAGATTTCAGAATTTCAATTTTTAAAAAAAAAAACATTTAAATATTATTTTTTTTTTTTATTCTCACTGTAGTATCTTTGCAATTATTTGTTAAACCTTACAGATGTCATGTTATTACAAGCTGTAATGTTTTTTCAAAGTTTTTAATTTTTTTGTATTCAACTTCAAATGAATTGGAATGGATGGAACAGTGACAACATCTGGGCCAAGAGTTTCTTATAATCATTCAAACTCTTGCAGCATACAACAAATGCTGCCATTCAAATGCTTTTTTTTTTTCCCCCAGAAATTTATGAAATACCAACGTATTACACCATCGTCCTTTGTGAAGAAAGTGTCCGTGCCTATGTCAAGACATCCATTTATTAAAACCCAAAACATTTTAATAAACTTTTATTTTCCAATTTCGTCCAACATTGCAGTATTTACATATTATGCTTCACACAGCTTACATTTTCTTTGTGTTCAGTTCAAGGAGATGGTTGGGACAAAAGCCCACAGTGTAATGTCCTACAATATGTGCTACAAAAATCTACTGAGTTGCCATTGGTTACCATTCAAAGTTATGCATTTATCATTTCTGGAATTGGCATGCAATTTTAAGTTACTATTAAAAAAAAAAACTACAAACATTTTGCGGATTAAATGTTGATTCATTTGAGTTGTCTTTAGTGGACGTTCCTCAGTTTCTTCCTATGTCTTTATACTTGTCTTTATCTTGTTCCTTGTAGTATGGTATCAAAACAGTTGTCTAGATACAATATTATCCAGTAACACATTTGTGTCTTCTTAATATGTAATATATATATACATGTATTTTTACAAATTAAACTTCAGCTTGTTTAACTATTTCTCTGATGGAGGTGAGAGGTAGTGCCAGACTGGTAAAATTAAATTGTGCGAGATTCCCCATCACTGATGATATTGTAGCTCTCTCTGAAGGAGACTCATTCCCCTCATTGACTGGACCTACCATCACTACTCTGTATCAATCGTCACTGGCTATTTTCATCCATTTAAAAGGGCAATAAGAACGAAAACAGTGTCCGAATTAGCCATATTTTGTTTTAATCGGATGCCTCAATACACGATTGAAAGTATTTAATTAATCTCTGTCATTCCATTATACGTTTGAAATAAAAAATAGTCGAAGGAAAGTTTTCTTACAGGCTGGAGAGAGGAGCAACATTGAGAAACACATCACAGCAAAACTATTATCTGTGGCGTAACTAGGATTAGTGCTGCCCTTCCTCCCCCTCAACGAATAGCTGCAGGCGGCCGAAAATGCCTCTCCCAATAGAGAAAAATTACCACAAACCCCCCCCTCTTTATACAATCGTAAAACATTTAAAAATGACTACAAAGTTTGCCACATACAAATTTGAGGACAGCGTGAGAAGGCAGCGTGACGTCATCACACTGTCAGCAGACTGCTCCCAACCCTCATCGATTGGCTGGCTCTCTCCTGTCCTGTGAGGTCACTGCTGGGTGACTCACGTAAGTCATTCGGTTAGCCTGACATGACGTTTTATTTGTCCCATCTATTTTGTGAGGTAGAAGTAGAAGCCTAATTTAAAAGCCCTGTTAGAGGGCGCCCGGCTGCCCCCTCCCCCCGGGGTGGGTAAATAGTGTAATGGAGGGATGGAATTAGGACGTTGATGTTCCATCCCGATCTAAGGAAGTCTGATTGTTAGTGTAAAAAGGATCACACTACTGACCGGCCAAGTGACCTTTGGTTGGATTACTGTCTTTCTCCCCCTCTCCGTTTGTCTCCAGTCAAGTTGCGGGCTGTGGGGGGGGGGGGGGGTTTGCATCCAGCGGGCCGCTTCACGCCCCGTTAACATAAGAAGGGACGATTGGGGCCTCGGCGGGAAGGGGGTACCGGTACTCTGTTTAAATTTATTTTCCCAATCTCCAGTCAAGTTGCGGGCTGTGGGGGGGGGGGTGTTTGCATCCAGCGTGCCGCTTCACGACCCGTTAACATAAGTAGGTACTATTCGGGCCTCAGCGGGAATGGGGTACCGGTACTCTGTTTAAATTTAATTTCCCAAACCACATCTTTGCCAACCCCGAGACCTCATTCTAGCCCAGTAAATACAATAGTTATCCAAAAGATGCACAAATCACCGAAGCTCACTTTCAAATCAGAGTCAGTGGCCTCTATATCCACTGATGATAATAAGGGGGAAATGGGGTGGAGGGCTGCTATAAAGTCGGGTAAACAGGAAATAAGGAGAACAAGGTAGTCAAGGTAAGCCACTGAGGTTAGGCCTACATTAAAAGTTAATATAATTTATGAGGCCCTTGGAAAGACCACCCCGATGTTCTTCGGGTCCCAGAAAGTGGAGACGAGTCACTGCAAGAGGCGATCGCTCCAACCCATTTTTTTTTCTTTTAAACCTCACCCCCGGGCAGGAAACAAATCCACGATACGGGCAATGAGATATTGTAATTATTATTGTTGTTACATTCATTGACTTAGACGCGGTCCCCATTCACCCATGAAAGATGTTTGAATATAAACAAATGACCAAATTCCGCCCTGTGGCGAACTCTCACTGGTGCGCCCCCCTCACATACTCGCTGTCATCATTTTGTACGTATGAAGTCGCACAGTTGCACCCCTTTAGCCTCTTCGTACCCCCTTAGCTTTGCCCCTGCCAGTACACTTATTGAAATTTGAACACAAAAGCTACAAGAAAAATAAAAAATAAACCAGCAACAACAAAAAACGCATCAGCCCTTCTTCGTCTCATAAATAAAATGTGCACAGCTTGGTCAATGTTCATCGTGTGTCCTCGTGTTAACTCATGTCTGGGTCACTCTGGGAGCGGACAAAGGTGTCTATTTTAAAATAAAGCGCCGCTACTCTCGGAGATGATGTCATTGTTCGTCTGCTCATCCTGACTGATCCACCCCACAATCCACCAGGCCCGGCGCACTCGCGAGGGGGCTCCTTGTTAAAAGGAATCAGCCGGTTCAGAAACCAGCAGTCGACTCACGGAGGACCCGTAACGTCTGTGTGAGCCTGGACAAGACTACTGCTAGAATATACTTCTGCCCTGTGCTATTTATTTTGTTTTTCATTACTAGATTAATACTACGAATTATTGTCAACATGGTGAGTTGCTCGTTCTGTTTTAGTCTAAAAAAAAAAATTAAAATTTATGAAATAAAGTTTTTCCATAATTACTTGTAAAAACAAGTGAATAGTCTAAATATAATTTTATAAGTTTTACGGTAAATCCACGTTGGGCTGTGTATTAGACATTTACACCCCCCCCCCCCAACCTTTGTTAGAGTAAAATTTGTTCGATGGATGAATATAAGATTATATGTATTTATATCTTTGATATTGTAATGACTAAAAAAAAGACTTGTTCTATTTATGAATTAGCAAGCATCATCATTTAAATTAGCAACAAAAAAACTTTGACGCCAAATCATTCATACACTATGACAATATGTCAGTTTTGTTAACAAATGTGTCCTACAACTAAATGTTAACTTAGACACGTTTGATTTTACGCAAATGCGGAACAAAACTTTAAAATGGCCACAACAAGGCCCATTCTCAACCCTTGACAAGCTTTCCAAAATTCAATACAAAAAACAGAACAAAAAACCTCCTGATAATCAGAATCAGTTTGAACACTGCAAGCCATGATGCCATGGTGCCATGATGCCATGGTGCCATGATGCCATGGTGCCATGATGCCATGATGCCATGATATATAGCCGCTGCCTAATAAATAGACATGGGTTATCAGTGGCGTAGCGAGGGTGTTTGGCGCCCGGGGACAAGATTCGCGCCCGGGGACAAGATCCATTTTTAGCGCCCCTTTTTCTTTTTTTCAACTCTCAAACCCATTATTTTCATCAATAAAATAATATCAAAGCACATTTTGGCGCCCCTAACTAGCTGGCGCCCGGGGACATCTGTCCCCCCC